ATCTCCTGCTGCCTCGGCATCTGGCCAGTCATTTTTGCGGCAAAGTTTCCAGCAAAGCATCCTTCCCCCACCGATCTCGAAGTGCCATGCCATGCCATGCCATGCGCCCCTCATTTATGCGCCCCTCTGTCCTCTTACCCCTCTGCTCCATGAGCACGTCCGCATACAATTCGCCAAGAGACATCGAGGACCTGGCAGCGCGCATGGCCAATGACTATTCATTCCCATTCCCAGCTTTGCGCTTACGCCCAGCACCAATGCAATGCTCCTCCTGGCAGCTGATCAATCCCCGCATGCGGTGCAGGGCATACTCACACTCGATGACATCTCCCTCGACGTAAAGCACCATTTTGTTTTGAATTGGATGAGATGGGGGCGGCGGGGCGGGGCGGGATGCGCTTGTGGGAAAGAGGCAGCGATTTGTGAAAAGCTTTTTGTGTGAGCTTAAGGTTGAAGGTGGTGGATGGAAGGGTTGGATGAGGTATTGGAGGCAAGGCAAGATGAGCACGTGGAGCAGGCCAGGCCAGGCCATGCACTGAGCGTCAGATATGTTTGTTTCTCTTCAACGCACCCTCACGAGCGCAGAAGAGGGTGCGTTGCGTTGCGTGCGTGCTCTTGACTTGCCTCGTCCTCTCCCTGCCTGCCTGACTGACTGCCTGCCTGACTGCCCGGCTCGCATACATATCGCCGCGTACGGTTGCTCTCGCGATCGGCGACAGCGGCAGCGGCAGCAGCGCGCGTTGGGGGGCCGCAAAGGCGCCTGCAGCAGCAGCAGCTAGCATGCGTTTCCTGCATGCATGATGTCGAGCTGCGCGCGTGTCGCAGGGTCCGTGTGGTCTGTGCTTTCTTCGCCACGTGGCCTTGGGTTCAGTTCCACGCTGTTCCGCGGAGATTGATTCTAAGGACAGGCGTCACGCTGCGCGGTGCAGTCAAGAGTGCATCTTGACTCAAGACTGCGAGTCACGAGTCACGAGTCACGAGTCACGAGCGACGAGCACAACTCAGACTAAATTCATCTTGA